TTTAATAAGTGCTAATTCTTATCACTGAAAACAAAAAATCCCTATCTGTAGCTAAATAGAACCCCAAAATAGTTCCTTTATTATCAAATAACAGATATTTAATAAGTTAAAATCCAAATCTTGAAGACAAAGAATTCCTATTTTAACGAGCCTGATTATTTGAGGTCCGATTAGGAATCAGTCCGTTCCAATACGTTAAAACAATACCTTAATGCCCTCTACTATTTCCTTCAAACATTGTATCACAAATATATTATATAGTAATCAGAAATCTTATCTTAATTTTAGGTAATGTATTAAAAATTGGAGATCATCCTCGGATTAAAAGATAACCCAGCTAAAGACCCATTACACTATTCAATAAGTCAATACTCGATTCATTAACTGTGGTCTAATGAGGATAAGATTAGTAGATTATCGCCCTTTATGTAATCAATTTCTGATCAATATTCAATGTTTGGTGTTAAAACTTGAATTGTTCTGCCATTTATATTGTCTACCTGACGAATTAGGGTTTTTAGTCTGGCTTGAACGGCAGACACGGTGATCGCTCAACAATTGTCTTGTGATTGCAAGAAGCTACAGTGTGATAGGGGCTTTAGGCAAGTTAAGGCATAGATTGAGGCAAGTTTATGCAGTAAACAAGTTCGAGCTCTTGCCATTCCCTGATTTATTTCGTTATCCCTATCATTTTAGTTCCAACTTTACTCCAGTGTGACAGAGGCATAAGACAAGTTTGGGCATTTGAATCGGGGAAGTTCGAAATTCAAGTTCTTGCTATGCCATTTGTATCACTAGTTTATGCAGTTTAGAGTTTATTGTCGTTTTCTCGACATCTCTATCTTTTGGTTCGAACTTTACTCCAGTGTGAGTGAGGCTTAAGACAATTTTAGCTATAAATTTAGGCAAGTTCGAAATTCAATGCCGTGTGCCATTGCACTTGGAATTAAAAGTATTATCCACGCCCCCACTATTTTGATTCCAATTTCACCGTTTAAAACAATAAAAACTGACTATTGACCTAAACCAAAAGACCCCCACCCTTATTCACCCGTTCCCTCCATTAATTAAAATTTTAACGTGTCTTTTATACCGAAACACATCATAATCTTAAATAAGTCAAATATTTGACCGGAGTCTTGCTGTGCAAAATAAAATTGAATTGTTAAAATCAGTGCACCGAGATCAATTTTCAACATAAATACATTTCTTTCTACCTAGGGTGCATTTTAATTGTTTGAAATTTCGTCCATAAAAAGTATAATTTGAAAATTTTGGCCGTTAAAACTATAAGTTTAAAGATTTAGGCTATATCGTATTAAAATTTTGATGTCATATCTCTTAAGATAACGTAACGTACCAAAACCTTGGACATAATTTTATGTCAAATTTGTGATGCAAAATGGATTAAGTTTCCCATAAATAAGTCAGTTTTATCCCCAGGTTTTGCCCAATATTTACACACAACTTCAGGGTCCCTCCCCACGATTACAGAAATTAAAATTAAACGGGTGGTTATAATGTTGGGTCACCCTCTGACACTTTAAAGACCGTCTTAGAAATAAACAAACATTTACTTTCTAGTTTAATTTCACTATTTTAAGAAACATTTGAAGCGATTAAATCGCCATTTTATGCGAATTTAAATATAACCATGTTTGTTTATGGTTGTCGTAAAAACGTTTAAAATGGCGCGAATTGGGAATTTTATGATTCTGCCAGGGCGTCGAATTGTTATAAATTAATCAGAAACGGTTTATTACTGACTTGACCGTTACAATGTTGACCAACACGAATCTGACACTCGCAGACGATCGTCTACAACACGTCACGAGCCAATTTTTATTTACATATATCAGTATGACGTCAGATTTGACGTATGACACACCAGGATCTGACCGTTATATGGATGACAAGTTGACGTTTTCAATTCTTTATTAAAAACCCCATTAATTATCATACACCGTTATAAATCAATGCCTAGAAAATCTAATAGATCACATATTGAGACATCAACTTGAAAAAATGTCACCCATTTTATTTCTTTCGCTGTTATTAATTGAGAAGCATTAACGCGCATACCGAAATTAATTCTTTAAACGTGTTATGACGTCATCATATCTTGAATTACGTCATGATATATGGTGTATTAGTCGTGATTTATCATGCCAAGGGATTTGTAATTCAAGATATTCTGGTATTTTATCATTTGTTCACTTGAGTCGGGCAATTTGTACATATTTTGTACGTTTCACTTTCTGCTGTGACGATAGGGAGTTGAGACAAGTGTTTTAGGTCTGGTTGTCAACGCACGTGTTAAACCAACCGCTATAATGTTACTGTTCTTAGATCACTTTTAATATCGGCCTACATTTAGTCTTAAATAATGCAAAATGACCAATAACAGGTTTTTTTTTAAATTGAACCATGTTGATACATGCCGATTAAAAGATCGGTGCATGTTAAAAATCGATCGAACTCTTCAACTGTAAATGACATTTTCACTGACTCATGCTAATCTTGAATATATGATTCATGGTTTTTAAGTTTTGATAAACATAGAGATTAAATTGGAATTCATTTTTTGAAGAAACATAACATTTCATAACATTATGTTAATCTGGATTTCGATTTATTTGTTTTGGTTTTTAAGTCGAACATGAAAAGTATACTTGTCTTACTTATCTTACCAACGTTCAGCATCACTTTCAAAAGTTGGTGAAATATACAAAAGAAAATTTGAAAACATTAATTTAGGGAGCCCGGTACAACCCAGGTGGGGCCTCGACCATTGTTTTTCAAGTAGCACTTAAAAGGGTTAAAGATATAACAGTAAAAATACAGAGGAAACGATCGCATTGTTTTGTTTTGAGCCCGAGGGGGTTGGACTCTGTAGTTACATTACGTGAGCTGCAGGTGGTTTATCCCTACATCGTTTCGTTTTTATCCCTGTGATTTAAATATATCTACCTATATTATTACTTAACGTAAATTGAAAGTCAGTTGATATTTTTGGATTATTTGTGATCAAGGATGAAACCGAGCCGGGGTTAAATTAAGGGGTTAGTTTGTCTCAATTTGGTGTATCTACTAATATAGCGGCTACCCCCTCCCCCTCTCAATCCGCCATCTTTAATTTAACTTGTCAGGGTTTATCTATGTCTCTAATGAATTACTCAATTGTAAATTTGCAATACTCCAGAAATTACAGGTGCTCGTTGTAAGCGTCTTCGATCTATCAGTGAATATTATTACTCTATATGTTAATTTCATACATCATTCAGCTAATTATTATTTACTTACAGCAGAACTTTAGATAATTTTTATCGTGGGGCATGGTTTGCTTACAAAATTTTAAGCAAAAGCTATACGCCCATGCAATTATAATACCCCACCCCCTCTTTTTGTTTTTGTAAGAATAGTGTTTTAAATGATAAGAGATCCCTTGTATGCGTCACGACTTCTGTAGATCCTCTTTATGCCTCTCCCCATAGTCCCGACCAAAACTCTCAGACATTTCTGACTAGTAGCCTAATACTATAACTAATTCTAACAATTGTCCACGAGGGCAATAACAAATATCTTGAATCAAAATCATCAAATTTATGCCACCACAGCGGGTCGGGCATTTATTTTGACGGTCTTGTTTGGACACCCCCTCCTCCATATTTAGTTCATAAGGCTGTGTCACGCTTATGCAATTTGACCACGAGGACAATTCAGGAAATTCATATTTCAAAACATGCAAGTCACTGCCACGAGTCAGATCTATTTTTAGTCAATAATTACAAAAAGTGTGATAAATATCTAATTAGACCGGTTGTCTGAAAGTGTGTATCCCGAACTTGTCCAGTTTCACGATTATTTCGTGTATTTTCACACATTTTATATCGAAATCGACACCTTTAATGATCTATTCTACGATTTTTTTGACGATGCAGGCGCGATACACGTAACTTTATGGCGTTTTTACACTTTTATAATTCTGAATTGAGGTTTATCAGCAACGGGGCTAATTTTTAGTTGCATTTTCTAAGCCTAATAAACATTTCATGTGATATTTCAATAATTACAAAATTAAAAGTTTCTTTCAGAATAAAGTATTGTTGTTCTTTCTCGAACGACAAAACTTCCAAAATATTTTCTTTAATTAAGACAAAAACTTCGTAATTAAAAAATTAACATTCATTTCAAAGTTAATGAAAAGTTCATAAGAAACCATTCAAAATTAGGAATTATGTAAATTTTATACAAATATTGTCTTTTTTCGCCGAAATATCAAATACGGTGTGGCTTCATTTTTGACAGCTTATGAGGGCGTGACTACAATTAAAATTTCGGTAGTTTTTTAATTGTTAATGAAGCCATTGTGATTAATTAATAAATCGTATGAGAATACTCTAATCTGATTGGTTAACCATTCAACCAGGGTCAACTCTAGACCCAAATCTCTCGTCTCTGATTGGTTCAAACTATCACGTGATTAACGGTCCCGCCAATTCTAAAGAGCGTGGATGTGAGTATAAAAGGTAAAAATGGCGTGAACTGAATTCAGCTTTCATTACGTGTTTATACCATAATACAGTCTCTAATACCGTGTTTTTTTGGATTTAACTTTTTGTGAATAATATTCTGACAACATGGCTTGTCTGTTACCTAAGCCACAGCGAGGACGCCGATCCTTATTACGGGATAAGTTTGATGAAAATTGTTTAGTGAAAACTTTGACTTACGAAGATTTGGATTTATTAAATGACACCGGCTTTCACGATGGATCTTCACCATATTCTGATGAAATTCATTCTGATTATTTGGATTTTGATTGTGCTGTACGATCTTCAGTCTGTGCCACCCCAAAACCGTGCCGTCGTATTACCCGATCTAGGAAATTATCACCGTTAGTTTTGGACACTAAATTCGATAGTAACTCTGACGATGATGTACCAGTCCGTATGGATATCCCGGACGTCCCACCAACACCCTCCTCAACTTCATCAAATTCACCACCCCACAGACGTCTCCGTGCCCTCAGATTATTCGACACCCCTCATACCCCAAAATCTTTACTCGAGAAAGCTCAACGACAGAAATACAGACAGATCAAATCTGAAAGAAAATCAAATCGAGTTGTAGAAAAAGTTGAAGCCAATGTCAATCCATTTACCCCAGTTAATAACCGAGTTCCCATCGGTGGAAAAAGAAATAGGACAGACATGATCAAGTAAGTTTCCATTTTTAGTTCAAGTTCAAATATAATATATGAGTCACTGGGACGCGTTCCTTTTTTGGAGTTTGAAATCTGGGTCGTTCTGGAAATATCAAACGCCATCCATTGATACTTATTTTTAATTGACGTCATCGATGACATCAGGGCACTTGACTTTACGTCATTCATATTATTTTAATTCATAAATTGTTTACTCATGTGTTTTGAATTTAAATTCAAGGTTTTCTCTACGGGTTGTGGGCGTGTATGTAAATTCTAGACATATATATTAAACTGGGTCAATGTCACTATACCATATTTGGACTTTGGATATTTGCCAGGGAAAATTTCATAAATTTGAATTTTTGAACTGATTGATGAAAACCTGACAATTTGAACAACAAATTTATTAACTTAGCTAATGCAAGATATTAGACTTAAATTCAAAATTGCAGACTCCACAAAATTTGAATCTGGTTGAAACCAGTTTGAACCAGTTGAGTGGTCAGTTGACCTAGTTGTCATCTTGTAAGCAAAAACAAAGATGGCTGCCACTGACCATTCAAGGGCCAATCTAAAATGAAGCCATTGTTGTTTTAATGAATTAACCCAGGAAAGGGATTTTCTTTGTCTTAATTTAATTGTTTTTATAAGAATGTCACCCAAGAAATCTGTTGTTTTAGAATGTGTCAAAATATTAGGATTTTAAAATTTAATTCAAACAATGAAATTGGTCGCTAGCTTCTGAAGAGATTAGGATAATCCCATTCTGACAGTTGCTTTAATCTATTACCAAGGTGTGGATTTGGAGATTTAAATTTTATCACATTTTCAAATCTGTTCCGAATTTTTACAACTTTGGTGACAAATGTCAAATTTATTTAAAACTTCAAATTTTTACTGACAAGTTTGAAAAAAGGGGTGGTAATACAAATTTATTTATTTTCTAATAAATAATGGTTAAGATTTTTTAAAAAGACTAGATATTTAATGAGTTGTGTTTTTATTTTTTCAGATCTGTTTTAGATGATTCTACTGATGAAGATGATGACCTTCCTACATCCAAGGTAATTAACAATATTCATTAACTTAATTTTGTCTTAAATATATTCTAAATATAAAATACTGTTTTGATCATATAACTTGGTATAATGTTAACAAAGAGTTAACAATGAAAGATATTAGGATGACTTGTAGTTTGACAAGGTTTTTGGCAAACACAATTTTAACCTGTTTGTTTTTCTTTTCCAGAAAATTGCCCTGCATGAAATCAACACCTCCAGATATAATGAAGAATTCTATGAAATGTGTAAATTAGGTGATGGTGAATATGGTTCTGTACATAAATGTGTTCATAGACTCGACGGCTGTATCTACGCAATTAAAAAATCAAAAACTCCAGTTGCTGGCAGTGTTTATGAGTAAGTTGGAATTTTGAATTTCATTCTTGAAAACAATCATCACTGTCGCGTAATTTCTTGGCTTGGAAAAGGATGCAGGATTGCTTATTTGAGAATTTCAAAGAATTTCAGTTTTGTATATTATAGCACTGACTTGACAATTACTGAAAAACATTAATTACTTCACCCACATCAAAGTATTGTAGATCAATGAAATTTATAATATCTTTCTCTATTACAGACGAAATGCCATGAATGAAGTTTATGCCCATGCAGTCCTTGGTAAACACGCCCACGTTGTACGATATTACTCAGCCTGGGCTGAAGATGATCACATGTATATACAGAATGAATATTGTAATGGTAAGTTGTCTCCCCTTGTTTACTGAAATTGTCTATGAAGGCACTTGTGCATTTTATTATGAATCGGAATTTGTTTTTGCCATTTTCTTTCGTTTCATTGCATGACTCCTAGAATGTTAACCTAGGCTTATTTCGTCCATTGCCTACACATAGTAGGATGTAAAACTTTTATTAAATTTCATGATTTTCGTATTACAGGAGGAAGTTTGGCTGAAATAGTAGAAGATAACAAGAGAACTGGGGGTCAAATCATGGAATCAGAATTAAAGCAGATTTTATATCAGGTTGCCCTTGGTGTTAAATATATCCACTCACAGAATCTAGCACATTTAGATATTAAACCAGGTAGGTTATCTCCCTTAAATTACCTCCCTTAGTTAAAATCTTTTCTTATGCTTTTGAAGTACAGAATTCAAATTAATATCAATCTTTCAAGTTTGAGCACTGCAAATTATCATGGCTTCTTCAAGGTTTTAATTTACTATTTCTCTTGTTTCAGGAAATATTTTCATCCATCGTAACCCTCGACTACTCGCCTCTCCCGAATCTGGCGTAGAATCGTGTGAAGATGAAGAAGAAGAATGTGAAGAAGCCGTTACATATAAAATCGGTGATCTAGGTCATGTGACTTCACTAGGTAATCCTGTCGTAGAAGAAGGTGATTGCCGATATTTACCTCGTGAATTATTGAATGAGGATTATGATTTATTGAGCAAGTCAGATATTTTCTCTCTGGCTCTGTCAATCTATGAAGCAGCCTCCAACCAGAATTTACCCAAGAATGGTGAAGATTGGCATTTAATTCGAGATGGTTATCTCCCTTCTCTACCAGGTTATTCTACACAGTTTCACTCTTTACTCAAGGTAAGCAGAAATTACAAACTTTATTTGACATTAATCTAAATATCGAATATACAGTATTAGCAATGTGAACCCTCTGAAAGGGATGTCAAGTTTAAACCTAAACACCCAATAACATACACAAACATTTGTAGTGGCACTCCCTCTTTGTCATTAATATTGATATCTTTGACATATTCTTAATTTTGTTATTTCTCTCTTTCAGTCTATGATTCATCCTGACCCTAAAGAACGACCCTCAGCACTTGCCCTGGTTCAACACCCATATCTCTGCCCACAATTAAAGAAAACTAAAGCCCAACTCCGAAAAGAATTAAATGAAGAAAGATTCAAAAATCAGATTTTGTCAAGGTATGTCTCACAAATATGTTTGAATTTTTTATAATATTAACTGGATTTGGTTCTTCTTGATAGATGCATGGATGAAAAATTTGCATTTACAGATATATTGCCTGTTGAGCCCCATAATTACATTAAAAGCTACATTGATAAGACATTTCACAGAGTATTATTATAGTGCTTAAGACAAATAGTGATATTTGATATTTGATACAATGTTGACAATGTATTTAATTGTATTAATTTTTTATTTTTTCAGAAAATTAATCGAAGCTACACAGTTTCGTGTAGAATCCACCCCAATTTCCCGACCTACCAATTTAGTACGACCTTTCAACCTAACGCCAGCCTCGGCACCGACTTCTGTGGAAACAGACTCTCGTTCACGAAGAATAGTGGGTAGTAAGATGAAACGCAGTGTTAGTTTGTCTGCGATTTAAACTTGCTACCCCCCACGAGTCGGTAACGACCCCCTAAAGGCTGTGACAGTGCATAAAACTCTATTTTTGTTATCATTTCGTTGGTGCTTGAATACTTGTTAATCAGAAATGTGCTTTAATTGTGATTTTTGTGTTGGGATAAACTTTAAGTTGAATTCAGGAGATATTTTATAAATTCACCTTGTACAGTGACAGTTTACAGCAGTTTGAATCCTGCCAATATTTTACTATTTATTCATTCTAGATTGTTAGACTTGTATTAAATTAATATTTAGACTTGGTAATTTCTAACTATAGTGTCACATGAAATTCTGTATCTTTGTCTATAATTCCTTGTTTCTACGGTTACTTGTTACTATAGAAACTATAATATTTAATATATCTCCTGAATTTATATCATGTGATTGTTAACCAAGTGGTAACCATGGGAACTCGATTATTTTTCTATGCATGATAGTTAGATGAGCTGGGTGTTCTATTTGTGATATTATTGTTTTGTGTAGGTTTATTTCGTGTGTCAAACCGACCATATTTGTGCTATGTTTTGTTTTTTTTGTCAAAAATAATCATGTCAAATTTCACTAAAATTTGTGAATTTATAATTACTTTGTATTGCCAATTATGTAAAAATTAATTTATATATTTCATGCTTTTTTTTCTTTTTTTTTCTATTTTTTTGTAAATATGAAGCTTTGTATGTTAACTATGAAACTATTGCCAATTGAAGCGTTTTAAACGCAGGTTCTTTATAAAGGTGCTATGTACGGTATTCTAATATCAAACTTATTGTTACTATGTTATACTTTGTGTCCAAATGTCAACAATCTGTTATGTAAATTTTGGATGTATATTTTGTACATTTTGAAAAGAGCTTAAATAAAAAAAACAGAAAATAATAAAAATCATAAAATAATTAACTAAAATAATGTCTTTTTCTTTTTGAATTCCTTGCATAAGAGTTTGCATTATACTGGCAGACAACTTGCTTTATACTTAGACCTTTGAACCCTCACAGCGAGAAAAATTCTGATCCCACAATATCTATCCTGTGCTAGGCTATGATTAACTCTTTAAAGGAATTAACAACTCTGTAAACGTCAACGTGTTGGAACACTGTCTTATTGTGGCAGTGGAATAGCTCAGTGGGTAGATAGCTGTATAGTTGTCTGATGGGCATTAACGAGCTCAGACAGAAACAATCAGCTACAATTTTTTAAACTGCAGGACTCTCGTGTTTATAATTGGGAACAACTTTCCCAAGGAGACCTTCCTTTGAGGTAAGTATTGAAATAGGGCCTTTATTCTCAAAAATTTAACTAAAGATGATTTTAATGTTCCAGTCATCTGATTGGTCAATCATTAAACTTTTAAGTTTTATTATCCAATCAGATTACTGTAATTTTGTAACATTGGATTTTATCTGAGTTAGTTTTTCCAGAATATGGCCCTGAAACAATGATCGTCGTAAAATATCTTTGTAAATATCCAAAATCAGAGAGGCTGTTGGGAAAAAATTAACAAAATGTTGAAATTGAAAAATATATGAATTTTATTAAACATTATGATTATAACAGAAAATCTAACGGGTAATAATTAGAACAGAGTTTTAACTACAGGGGTCAGGGGTCATGAAAAAGCTAGAGAGGGTTGATAAGTTAGTAGATGACAAGTTATTGTTCACTTCCAGCTGATGCTGATATCACAAACAACTGTAGAGGATTAATTGAAAGTGCGATATATAGATGCAGATTTATATAACAACAATTACTAGTTCTAAGTTTTTAAAGCCCATATGAAAAAAGGCTTCAGAGGATTTTAATTATGAATTCTGAACAGATTTTACTTTAAAAATCTTTAATATTAACAATGATGTACTCAAGTTTACTGTAAATTACAACCAAAACTTAACAACATTAACATACTTTCTTAATGTAATTCAATATTTTATTTATGTTGAAAGATTTTCTCAGCCTGACACATTCTCATCTTCACAATGTCAAGTTATTAAAAAGTTCATAATAGCTTGACACTGTGAAGATGTATTACAGCAAAATTCAAATAATTCTTACAAAAAACAACCAATTTATTTGTCTTGCTGAATAACTTGTAAGTACAAAAAACAAACTTGTCATAAAACCAAGAACATCAAATGTTTGTAAAACAAAAACACAAGGGGTATATTATGGTATATAATGGTTTGTCTTGCTAAACAGTTTATAGGATATGAATCCAATGACCATTATTAAATTATATGCATGAAGTTTTTTTCACCACAGTAAGAATAGGAATCTAAATTTAGAACATGGTTAAACTAAAATAATATAAACATTCAAATAACTTAATATTAGAATCAACAAACATGGGCTGTATTCACTAACATTTTAACAATGGTGGGGTGGGGCAAAACTAACATTTTAACAAGGGTAGGGTGGGGCAAAACTAATATTTTAACAAGGGTAGGGTGGGGCAGAATAAAATTAGAAGGAACTGCTATCTGCAGAATTTTAAAATATATTTTAGACATCTATTCATCTTAAAATCTTAAATTGCTCTTATTTGAATGATAATAATTTAATCTTAGAAGCACAAAGGGAAAGCCAAATCTACAATATTACTAACTTATACAATGTTATACAATGTATCACAGATCTTACTGTTTAATATAATTCTACATGTTTAATTAATGATATGCACATATTTATCACAATAACAATAATATAACAACTATATCTAATAAATTATTATGCGCATATAAATTAGTCAATATTATTGCTTGTTATTTTTTTTATTAAAATTTGCATAGCATGAATATTAATTAATTTAAAGGTTTTCAGGGGCCTTATTCTCCAAAACTTAAATAAGATAAAATCCAGATTTTCAGAAATACAGTAATATGATTGGATAATAAAATTAACTTTAAAATCAATTTCAGATGACTGGAACTCTAAAATCATCGAAAGTGAAATATTCGAGAATACGGCCCCTGGTTATCTTTCTACGATTGATTACTACGCGAAAACAGTGCTAATAGACGAGGTATAATGCCCGACGTGGGAATATCAACACAGTTGAAAATAGAAGCAAATTTTGTCCAGTCTAGAACTTTGGCAAAATTTCCCTCCCTGGTGTTGCCCGTCTTCATTAGCCCACATGGTGCAGAAAAGTAGGACGTAAAACTCCATTTATTTCATTTCAATTTTCTTCTATTTTCTACTGTATCATACAGCACCCAATACTGCATAACGCTCCTACGCACAAAATAAAAGCAATAAAAATTGACAAAAGCATTTAGTCACTTCCATCCATAAGGTCTGGATATCATTTTACAGACACCAAAATCATCCCCAATTTTAATAATGAGCTCTTCCAGCAATGCATGTAAGTATTATTGTGATAGAAAGTATGCATGTGTGGAAGAATTCACTAGAAATGGGGGTGAGGGGTGTCAAGTAGATGACTGGTATATTATATCTAGCATTGTACAATTATGTTCTTTTGGCTCAAAAGTATAATAGCACCGAAATATTTTTTAGCAGATATGGTGAAATAATCACGTTAATTATCATCTAAATATAGAATAACTTCATCTAGGTGGTGCTGATTGGTGTCGTACATTAGTAAACAACTCCATGGCTTTAGCAGAACTTGGCATCATTGTCATGACAACAGTAAATAGCGCTACAAGGAAGATAAATCCTGCTAGAGTCACTCGTAGTCTTTGACCTAATTCCTGTTTATTTGGGAAAAATAATCTGATTTTGGTCATCACAGCTTCTCGAACTTTCTCATTGGATTTTCTGAAATATTTTAAATTTAGGTTCATTTTAAACAGAATCAAGCACTACAGAAGATGAAAGTAGCTGTAATATTCAGTAAATTCAACACATTGCTTTGAACTGCAAGCGTTTTTCTTCGCAGTCCATATTGGCGAATGAATTTTATAATTTTTTATTGAAGAAAAATCGTGAACTTACATATCCACCTCTTCCTCGTGTTTGGTTTGTTCAACTTTATCCATGATTTGTTCAAGTGAGGCGGAAACTCCATTCTGTTGGTCTCGTAACTGACCTAATTCTTTACTAATCTTCATCTTAACGCCATCTTCAAATCTACAATAATAATACAGAAATATATCAAACCTAATCCAAAAATATCTCTTACTTAGTTTGAATGTTGAACCCAGAGCAGTTCTATTGGTTACAAGATAAATTGGTCACATAGGTAAATTGGTCACTGTCATATGGTCATTGGGTATAAATTAGGTCACAAGAATGTGGTCACATGGTAAATTAGGTCACAAGAATGTGGTCACATGGTAAATTAAGTCACATGGTAAATTAGGTCACAAGCATGTAGTCACATGGTAAATTAGGTCACATGGTAAATTAGGTCACAAGAATGTGGTCACATGGTAAATTAGGTCTCAAGAATGTGGTCACATGGTAGATTAGGTCACAAGGTAAATTGGTCACGAGATAATATGGTCATGAAGTAAAGAGATCATAGTAATATGGTCACAAGATAAATTGGTTACAAGATTCAACTAGTAACTTAAGTCATACTTTTAACCATCAGCCACAAAGAATCAACGAGCCATATCATTGGTATCAAATGAAACTTGCAAGGCTCATGGAGTAAAAGTAAAAATAGAAAACAAACCCTTTTTGATAGGCCTCTTCTTCTTGGGAGGTTTGTTTGGTTGGCAACTTTAATTCTTCCTTGGTACCAGTATTTACTGCTGTCCTGCTTATAATACATGATAGGAAAATGTTAAATCAAAACCTCAAAACCTGAAGTTTCTTGTTACACATGCAAGAAAACTGCTGCTCTTACTTCTTCAGTACGACTTATAGACTTCAGAAGTGTTTGACCATAGACTAGAGTTTCACACACTAAAAGTTCGTTCCACAAAACCAAGCGAATAAAGTCATTCCAATGCTGTTACTGACTGTGCTACTGAAATGTGTTATTAGAAACCACACATCCAATTAAAACCTGGATAAAATTAAGCAGTAATATTTACACCTAAAATCTAGCTCCATTACATTATAAAGGATCTGAGATACCAGTATATATTGGCAACATATCCTAAAACATAGCAAGAAATAAAAATCACTTACGGTTTTTTATCTAGAGAAGTTTGAGTTTTTACTGTAGACACGTTATTATTCGTTGTAGCAGGAGTAGAGGGAGTAACAGTATTTAAAGCAAAAGCAGAAGCAGTTTTTTGTTTTTCTAATGAAGCTCTTCTAATAACCGTGGTCACAGCATTTTTCATGGAAGCGTTAGCAACTAAAGACTGGAAGCGCTGTTTAGGATCCTGAAATTGTAAGAAGGAAAGTTAAGAAATGAATTATTGTTCGGGAAAGACACAATTTTAATCAAATTAAACGGTGAATAATTCCAGCAGTAATTTGATTTGTCAAATATTAAATTGTTCAATAAATCACAAACAGCAATTTTGGGAACATTTTAAATTTTCAATTCAGATTCTCTACACGTATAATATCTATAGGTCTATGAACTATGTTTATCAACAACTTTTTTTCTAAATCAGTCAAAATGCAGGGGAATTGAAATTGAATTCATAGGATTTACAAAATATGCAAAAAGACAAAAAAAACAGAAAATGCTCAGGGTATAATTTCTTTTTAACAAAATTCTGGTTTAAAAATTACCGGTATAAAACTAAGATATGATAGATATCTAGAGATTTTTTACAAAAAACATAATCATGAACAGTCTATTATAATTTTTTAGGTAGAATCAATAGTAATTGGAACTATTCAAATCAGACTTATATTGTGTTCATTACTACCTACACTACCTCAATATAAAATAGACTGTTTATGTTTGTTTGGAAACAATAAAAAAAATCACTTGAAATCGTCTGATCATCTCTGATAAAATATCAACTGAAACTATAAAACAATACAATGGGTATTTTTAAGGTATATATAATGTTAGGCGAGGCGAGGTGCGAGGTGTATTCAGCGTTAATAAAGCAGTTTGTTTTAATATTTAAATTATAGGATCACTGAATTATTTTACTTCAATCTTCAAACTTTTGAAAAAGAGTTCTACACCTGAAAGATGTTTCAAACTTAAAATATAAACAAAATAAACACTGTTTTACTTTTTTTAAAAAACATCTTTATGCAGAAATTAACCAAATTGTCAAAACTACGAACATAAACTAACATGGCAGTAATACAGTTGGTTAATAGTTCTCAAAGACGACAATAAGTAAATTTATTTCACAGTTGAAATGTTTTTAAATTATAACAATGAGGTTCTAAAGATATGTTCCGTTTTTTTGATTAAATTTAATTTCTTGAATCCTTTTCAAAAACTTGAAAACAATTTCAGTGATCCAGTATCTGAATATTTAGTTAATATTAAATATTTTCTGTATATTCAGCCTGAAAAAACAAACTTGGGAAAAGCTTAAAGAACATCCAAAACTCTCAGCAGATGTAGTGCACATTAAACCACAAGGAGGTAACTAATACAGTAAGAGTTACTGCCCTTGTCTTACCTCTTCTTCCTCCTCCTCATTTAAAATATCGTTCGATTTAGTTAATCGTGGGTCTTTGAAGGCGCTTCCAATCTTCTTCTCAAATAGAGAACGATCCTAGAGTGAACACAGCAAATAACATGCACTAACATAAACTAAATAGAAACATGCACATGCATATTAAACATTGACATATATCTCTATATCTATTTATAGTAATTACTAGTATTCACAGTACTTAAAGCATTAAAAGAACCAAGCCATGAAAGAATTTAAATCATCTACTACTCGGATAGTTGTGACAGTATAAAGGCTGAAGAATGAATAAGTTCAAGATTATAAAGTATTTTTGTTGATAATGAATAGAATTTTATTATTAGGTTAAATTATTAGTGAAAACAAACTTGCGATCCCAATAAATTTGGGAAAGGAACCAAAGGACATAAAATTATAATATTTATGAGACAGTGCCCTTTCTATGAAACATCAGGTGAGGGGGGTGATCAGTGGCCACAGGCCATTCTTTTACTATGTAAAATGATTAAAAATTTGAAAGTGGGGGGGAGGGTTTGGGAGGCAAAGCCGGGCCAGCATCTTTTATGGGGGACCATGGCTCCCCTGACCCCATCATAGAAATGCCACTCTTATGAGATTTCTAAATCTAAGATCAAATATTATCCAGGTTCCTTCACAAGTATGTTATTAGTATAAATTAAGACAAACTAAAGCTTCAGACAGGAGTACAGTAGCAAAGACAAGAAACTTTATTCAAGCTATTCAAGATTGTGTTAGTCAAAAATAAGTTATTATGTTATAAATCTTGATGTTGATGATGTTGAAATAAAATGTAATGTTGTTTTACGTTCTACTTTTCAGACCTTATTGAAGTAATGAAGACAGTTATTGCCATGTAGTTTGAAATTTGGAGAATTTTGCCAGGACAGCAGCAATAGCCTACTCTTTTATATTTCCAACCATGACTGGATCTTTAATTTGCAAAGTCTGTAGCACACAGGGAACAGTTTAATATCTCAACCTAATGGCTCTTTCAATTCCAGTTCCTCCAACTTGCATCACTGACAGGGGTATCATATCTACCTATCTTGGGATTGAATCAATCATGGAAAATATTGAAGCAGCACAAGAAAGAGATTAATTTTAGTTCAAAGACTAACACTGAATAACCAGTTTTATATCGAATCTTAAACTAGGCTTTATTAAGAGTATGTTAGTCACATAGAAAGCAGTCAATCTTTCCAAGATATTGAATTAAAAGCAAAATAGGAAATGTTATATTACTATACAAGCAAAAATAATCATTAGATCAAATTATAAAAACAGAAGTCATTAAAATCAAAAGCTAGTCTGAAACTTGCTGATTTCATTATTTTAAAAGATGTTAAATTAGATAGAGCCAGAAATACATTAGTCTTGCTTTTTGATGAACTTTACAATATTACTAATGGTTTCTTTGTGCAAGTATAATAACCGCAAAATTAGTGCGATGGGTCATATTTAAAATTTACTTGTCTCCGTCCCCTTGTAGGCTATCTAACCTGCCCTAAGTATTACTCAAACATATAACAGGGAATGATTTTTATGACTCTTCCCTCACTGACATCTGTCAAAAATTGACTATCAGGTGTCAGCAAATTTCAGACTAAAATATTGTAAAAGCTTAAAAATTATTTTCAATATTGTGTTAAAGAATTGAGAGAATTGTGAAAGACGAAAAAAAAGTTAAAACTTGTTATAAAATGGAAAGTGATGAAATAAGTGTAAAAATTAAAAATTTTAGAAATTAGAGTTTAGAAACACGCTGTGATAGAAACCAAGGAATTACGCTTACCAAGGAAGCCGAATGTATTAAAGGGGGACAACCCCTTCCTCCTAATACTCGGGGTAACGCTACATCACTACGTCGTCTTAACTACAAAATGTTAAAAGATATCGTCAGATAAATTGTTAAAATATAAGTTTTCTGGTCTACAAAAATAAGTATTAATAAGTAACTTGTTTTATAAATCCCATCAAGTGTTAAAAGAAGATTTTTTGTGAGACACATTATAAAAATAGTCCAACATTAACTGTTGTGAAAAAAAAGGAGTTTTTTCAGCAAAAAAAATGTTTTCACCACCCTGAGAATAGCATTGAGAATAGGGGTGATAGAGGTGGGGATGGTAGGGGAATAAGTTTGTGGGTGAAGTTGATCTTAATCATAATAAATCACTACGATCAATTTCCTCAACTTTAAGAAACTTGTTGAAGTGAAAAAGGGGAGGGTTGTTGAGTGGAATAGGGCAATGTTGTTGAGTGGAATAGGTTGAGGTGTCTAGGGTCAGAGTTTGATCCAGGGAAGGGGGGTCAGGATGAACACACCTGTAATAATCTTTCTCAACCCAGGTGATTTAATCCAACATCTTAATTAAAAATATCACCTTAATTAATACAACTTTAACGACATTTGTGCTAATGAGATCACAAAGGTCATAAATGTCATGACCTTGAAGTGGGCAAGGTCATTGTTTCCAAGATGGCTACCTACTGACATCATTAAGCAAGTCGTTAATTACTTCATTAAGTCCTTAAACTCATCAAGAAATCCCTAATTAATTTTCACATGTTTTAGATAAAGTATGAAGTTAGTAACATTGTTATACTAAGTTGCTAGTTTGACAAATCAAGTGTTTTAATAGTAGTAAATGTCAGTTTCACACCCTGTATTCAATACTTTTACGATTTCCATGACAACATTTTTAACATTTTAATTAAAATTATTGTCATCTTAATTAAAACCAAATGAAATCGTCATAAATGTCAAATTTTATAATTTTCTAAAATAAATAAAGATACAATATGTTAAAATTGTCAACTAATTAAAGAGAAATTAAGAAAATTAACAGTAGATTAATGAACTAAGTCAATTCCAAATGAGTTGTAAGATTTGGTGACAAAATGTAACATTTCTGACACATTTTTCAATCTGGGCCTCACCTTCCTTGATCAACCTCTAAGTGAATGAGGTAGTTAACATAGTTTCACTGTCAAGGGCTTACATAACTAATTGCATTATATTTTTTTAACAATATTTTACTTTCATAACAATTGATATTACACACCTAGTATAGTAGTGAAACGTCAGAAGGTGACTTGCACCTTTTTAAGGCAATCCCTATCCTCAAGGTGTGAAAAATTCTGATGCCTGTGCCTGAGCTTTCGAGAGTTGGCCCAGTGTTGGCTTTTACTCCCTGGTACTTATTAACATGCGACCCCTCGCATCTCAATCATAAAACAATATTTTAATCATTTTCTTATACCAAGGGAGATCTATTGATCTATATACAGTATATTATATAACATGCAGTGTATGTTTGTGTGTGTGTCTTTTCAACTAAAATCATACTAATGACTAACTAATTTTCATATAATCAATAGACTTATCTATTGCTCTGTGACCTAGGCCAGTGCTTTCATTGAGACTTGTCTCAATACGTACCCTAACACCAAAAACAATAAACTTAAAATTAATATTACTCTTAAAACTATATTATTGTCCTGTTATTTGACGTTTCAGCTTACTGCATTCTTCAGAAACACCCAAAATAGATCTCGATCACATCTTATTACGTTAGTTTGTAAGTCTTTTTCGAGCAACAAATAACATTATTGAAAGTTTTCCTTAGGATAATTGAAACAATAGTGGTCTGAAGTGTTTCCACTGTTCTGGTTATGTGCTTATAGAAATATTTGTGAAACTTGTTTTAAAGATTGCTGTTAACTGATGAGTAAGTCTATTAAAATATTTGTGAAACTTTATAATTTTATCAAAGGTTTTTATTAACTGGACAATGTCACAACTGAAACGTATTCACACTCTATACAAAATATCTGTAGTGTTTTAGAGATGACCGTCACCTGTACAATGAGATTAATAAAATATTTTTAATATTGAAAATCTTTAACAAAGGTCCTCGTTTCTTTCAGCTTATGAAAATATTATTGAACTTTGTAATCAGTTCACAGATTGCCAGCCACTGATCAGTGAGCTTCTAAAAATATTATCAAAACTTGAGAAGATTTTATTGTTTTGCTCTGTATAAATATTATTGAATTTTTTGAAAGATTTCTTCTAACTGTTTAGTGAGGTATAAAAATATTAATGAGATGTTTTTAACGAATTCAACTGACAGTAAAATATTTTTATAATCTTTTCATGTCTTCAATAGAACAATTATCACTCTAGTGATGTAAAAATAACATTCTCCCCACCCCTCAAAAACTTCTTTATCAATACAAGATTTTTTTGAAGAAGTTTGTTTTTATACATTAAAAAAAATGTTCATTAAAAATAAAAAATAATTTGACAGACTTGAGAAAATGATTTAATCTAAACAAATATAAAGGACTAAACACGCTACGTTAATTTACAAGCTGCGTTGGATTAATTCTCCTAGTGGTCACAAATTATCAAAGAGCGACATTGATGTTGGTAGAGCAGAGGCGTAAAACCCACAGAAAATCTCCTCTGTGGTATAGGGTGACTATAATATGACGCGACGTCATAGTGGAATGACAACTCTGAAATCTCATAGATGGTTTCCACGCTCTTTCATTACGCTATTAATACAGTATAGTGGGTGAAGGTGTTAAAGAGATTTGACATGACATGAGTATGAACTGATTGACCTATGAAATGTTATAATTATCAAACTATGTAGAAAATGTAATAATTACAGTGTGTATAAATAACAGAGATTATAATAAATATAGAGATAGACAGGTTAATAACAGGTGTATCAGATAATTTATCATCTTACTGTTATATCACAGGTAACCTTACACATCTTACAGGTATTCTGACACCCAGACACCAAAATAGGCTTGATATTTCACACATAATTCATAATAATTATAATAATAAACTCTTTATTTTACATGGGTCAGAATTAAGTCTAATAAACCACAGTAACATGATCCTGTCTAACATTCAGTCCATGGGAACAAACATAGACTCTTTATTTTATATGGGTCAGAATTAGGTCCAATACACAAGGACATGGTCCAGTCTAATATTCAGTAAATGGGGTAACATGAAAATTATGATTAGGAATTTTACGGTGTAACATTGCTGTTTTGGAGGCTTAGGTTTAAAAAAACCATGGCAACTTTATCTCAAACAGCAATAATCAGGCGCCTTGGGTTCAAATTCTACTCAATCCAAGAAAATTCTGATTCCATGACCAGTGCTTCTGAAAGTTGTTAAGATATTTCTACATCAGTAGGGTTTAAATTTTATTCATAATACATAATGATTTTGTTCATGTAAACAATGGCAGCTTGATTTAAGACAGCAAGTCTGAGATAAATTTTAGAATATCTGATCGGATGCCCTGGGTTTTAATACTCCTCTAGACAGCAAAATTATGATGTCAAATCCTACTGGTGATGTAACATTGAATTAACAGAAAATTAAAAACAAAAGGTGTCAATCAAATAGTATTGTTTTTTTGTAGAGAACTTCAATTTCGAATTTATATTTAAAACACTTCGAACAAGTTAAAATTGGGAGTGAAATTGACAAACTGACAATAAATCATGACATTTTGAAAACTGAGTTAAGGAAACAAAGCTTTGAAGAGTCTAGTCAAAAGACTCCTTTCGTGAAGCAATTTGCTCAACACTTTCAAACCTAAGGTCAAAATTCAGAATACTGGCTTGTCATTCAAATTTTTGCATCTTCAATGGCTGTCATTTGAATTCAATAACCTTTATACAAAATGGCAGTTAAAATTGACATAACAATTCAAATGTGAACAACAGTTTTCTTTGAGTGTTATTTTGTTTTTATTTCAAACTGACAAATTTCAGATTAAAACTCAGTTACATCATCTGACACTGTCATAAAAATCTTTAGAAATCTTCGTTGGCATGAGCTATGACGTGATTACGTGAACACGTCGAAACATTGCATAAAACTTTAACCAGTGATTGTTGTTCTATAAAGCTGTGTCTATATATCGTACTCACAATTGCTAAATACCATTCAAAGACCTCTATTAAATTATGTTTACAATAATTTGATATTATCAATTTAGTAGAGAAAATGAGCAATATAGTTTAATAACCATGATTTATTTGTAACCGAACCACTATATTTTAAACATGACAAGTGAACCTCTTATTTCATTCTATACAACTATTCAAATCAAAATATCATTTTGACTTTTAGATATTCAGGTATCATGTTCTAGAAAATTGAGATTTGATCATTTTGTTTTGTTGATTAGTGAGTAATATAATCTGGTAAAATAGGGAGGTAAAGTTAGACCAGACATGTAAAATAATAACAGTAATTTCAGTCTGACACTAGGAGATATGACAGGTATACTGAGTTAATACTGACATCTAGAGATTTATTTTAATATAATAACTACTCTCAACATTGAAAACTTTTAAAATGGGAATTAATCGGAGTGTTAAACAGTCAAAATATTGTGAAATTTGAGTGTCAAACAAAATAGGGATCATTTACCCTAAAAAAGTTTGACAGTAGCCACTGTCATGTGATCACATAATCATCATTTTTATTCTGTGTGTTTTTAGAAAGATTAATTATTAATATAAACACAAAATATTGTGAAATTTGAATATAAGACATCAATAAAAGTGATAATCTGTCAGAATTTGTAAGTAAAGCTAATGTCATGTGACCACATTATCATCATATATTATCTTTTAAGATTAATTCACCCAAATATTGTAAAATTTGAGAACATGGTCATGGCTTCAAAGATTGAGCTGCTGATTTCAAATTTTCTAAACATGTCTTTTGTTGGGCATCACCTATATTTAATGGAGATGTCATAATAATAAAGATTCAGATCTCATCTTAATCTCAGCATCTCTTAATCCTTGTTAATCTCATAATATGTATTGACAGTTATATAAAAGAATCTCTGTCAATTGAAGAGACGAAGGTGCTGATAATATTTTTTAAAGAAACTATTCTCCATCACCTATCTCTGATTGAGATGTCATAATTATAAAGATGCAGATCTCTTAATCCTAGCATCTCCTAATCCAGATTATCTGTTAATCTACTTGTGTATATATGAAGTGTGTAGATGGTATAAGATTACTATAATATGTTATAATTATAAAACAAGACCAGATAGATATAATATACTAATTAGTCAGGTATTGTTTTATCATTAGTTCAGGTGTCACCTTCTTTATCTCACCTGTATCTATTTACCTGTCAACACCTTTATTAATTCGCAGGTAGGAGTTGACGAGTAGGGCAGAGGGGTGGGGGGGAGGAGGTAGTAGAAGGAGGGTGGGGAGGGTTACTGGGTAGGGGATAGGGACGGGGGTAGTATGCGGCTCCTTATTTTGGATGCTAACACGCTGTTTCACAGATGCACAATTTTCAACATTTTTTAACCCCAATTCAGAACCAGTCCTTTATTAACTTACAGGTTGGGGTAGGAGTAAATAAGACCTCTTAGAGGGAGGTAGTGGTCACCCAATTTTGGTGTCGAATCATATTTTAAAGATGAACAACTTCAACAAAAATCACGAACTTCAACAAAATAAGTCAAGAACTCTCTTAAACCCCAACTCAGAATCAGCCCTTATTACAATCAGTGTAAATATAACTTGTGGACTCTGTAGAATCGTTGACAGGCAGATTACAGATTGACATCAGGTGTTCAACTCTTATCTCTTCATCTTACATCATTGTGTAAAGAAATTAGAACAGAATCTAATCAAATATTGGCTCTAACTACCTGTGTTTATCTTCAACTATAATAAAATGACAATTTAAATGTCTACTATTTAGTTAAAACTTGTCATAAAGTTGAAATTATTGAGTAATATTAAAATAAATTGGAATAGAATAAATTAGTTTTGATATAATGGGGGTAAAATATTTGTTTTGAAGAATTGACACTGTGTACTTAATGTCATAAGCAATATATTTGAGCATGAACGCTTGTTCACCCAAATAATAAAAAAGAATCGAAAAGAAGGTCATTCAAATTACGGAAATCCCATGTATTGATAAAAGATGTCAAATGTTTACAATCAGAAACATTACAGTCAAAAAATGTCATTCAAACTGCTGACAAGACAAGATTTAAGAAATATATTTAGCTGAAATTGCATTTTCAAACATTTACTCATTCAATACATAACAGTAAAAAACCCTCATTAAAGTTACTGACAATCCAAGTGTTAAGTGATATCAAGTCCTAACAATATATAACAGTAAAATGTGATACAATGTATAAAACCCAGTAATTATTCCATCATTAAAGTCTTATAACTGACTATATGTCAAACACAAACGTGGTATACGCCTAATAATGCCCTGGTGTAACGTCCTTATACATCTTTTATCTACCTAGATCTATCTCAACAGGTAAGATAATCAGGTTTTCAACTGTTCAGGTGGTAGACAATACAACAGTCTTTAGATCTAACTCCCTGTTTAATTTATATTAAGTATGTAGGGTTTCATTACAATAGGGGGTTGAAGATTTTAACAATAGAAGTTAAAGGGTCTGCTGGAGGTAAAGGGGTGATGAAGTTATTTTTAACTTTTGATAACATTGGTTCTGTTTACAAATTTTGATAGAAACTTTAATCTTACCAATCATTAGCTATCCTCAAAATTAAAACCACAAAATAACAATGTCACAAAATAACAATGTCACAAAAAAACAATGACACAAAATAACAATATTAGAGTATGAATTTTATGGACTATATATATATAGCAGATAGAATTGGAAAATTTAAAAAACTTGATAAAAAGGAAATTGAGGAACAGGAGAGAGAGGAGTAAAAATTCAAAAGACACGAGTTGCTGATTTCCAGCTTTCAAGATACATTATAATAATAATAATGATATTTATTGAAGATATTAGCTATATAGATGTCAATGATAAATACATAAATTGATAAATAACACTGGAAAGACGTAGAGGTTGTTTGGTAAAAAGACAATAATAAATCTACTAAACATCATAAATTTTAACTTTGAATCAATTAATGATAATTCAACGACTGTAGTTTAATACCTAAGGTTGACCCACAAAAGTTAAAGAAACTTATTTCCAGTGGGGTCCCTTGATAGTTAACAAGATGGTAGTTAACAATACGTTTAAACCTTCAGCCACCTATCTAAACAAAACCACATCATGATGGGTAAACTGTGGGGGGAGGGGTACACAATAGACCTGACCCTCAGAAACAATAAACCTGACCCCTAGAAAGATAACCCCGACCCTGGAAACAATAGGCTAGAAAAGAGCGGGAACTATGAACAATAGTCACTATGTAATTAAACTTGGCATGAGGTCAAATTAAGTTTACAGTTAAATTTTAACACATTTTAACTCAATTTTCACCCCGCAGTCAATATCTCTCTGACTCTAGAGTAAATTGTTACCAAGTTCTCACTAAACTCCTGAATCCTTCTTAAACCCCAGACAAACTATTGATAGGCATTCCTCCAATTGTGTAACTTATCATTTATTTATATCATTAAACCTTGGATAAACCTTTTATAATCTATAATAACTTTCTTCACCTTCACCAATTTGACCACCAAATAAACTAACATAGTTCAGTGCCAGACAGGGTAAAAGTGGTTATTCAAGGAATAAAGGTATCAAGTTCTTCCTTACTCAACTCAGTTTGTAGATTTTTCTAGTCTTAATGAACTAGTAGAAATAACAAAAAAAAAAAAAACAGTCCGATTTTTCAGAATAATTAGAAATCTAAGTTGAATTATACTTCTTAAACAGTTTAAGTAAGATCTACCAACAAATTTTGA